CATAGTAAAGAATAAGTGATGGAGCAACATAATGATTAACATTCTTGAATGATAAAGCTCCCTTTCCTTATGAATGTTCAACAATAACATCAGCTTATCTACTCTTTCTTGAATAAGCAAAGTAAATATGGAACCAATCTTTGACAAATGTCTTACCTTCAACAATTTATCTAACTTCAGGATTTCCAGATCTAATAATATAATTATATAAAATTACCCTAATTAATCAGTATATGTATAAGTATAGAAATTAAGTGTTTAATCTCTAGTATCAAAGTAACAACTAAGTGTATCAAAATTAAGTGCATCTTCACCAGCAAGAGTAGATGTTAATCTGAATAATAATTAATCTTTTTCAGATGTCTTACCATTCCATTTGAACCATCCTTAAACAGAATATTATTCAGTTGTTCCGAATCTATCACCAGAATTAACTGGATTTCCATTGAATTATGAAGCCTTGGCTGAGACTGCTCTAATCAAACCTTTACTTGAACAATCCTTTTATGGTTGAGGATTGCAACTTAAACAGAATGGATTATATTCTTCTAATGTATCAAAGAATGATCCTGATCCTAATCTTAAAACTGGTCTATGGAATTAACCATTAAATGAATAATATCTATCTTATGGATCCTTTCCACCAACTTAGAATAATAATTATTCCATTCTTGGATGTGTGACTTTGGCTTCTAAGGTAATTGGAGCTTAATTCTCAATCTAATAAAATGCAATAGCCTTATATCTAGTATAACTGAAATAAGTGTAAATCCAAACTCCTTCAATATCTCCAAATGGTTAAGCTAATTCTACTAATTTCTTAGCTTTATTATTAGCAGTGATATAAAAGAAACCAACTTTTCCTTAGAAAATAGTTAATAAACCATCTCTAATATCTTTTGGTGTTTCCTTCTTATTTGTAAGACGGGCAATCAATGACCAATCTGGTCTACTATTTTCATTTTATCCACCTGCCAAACCAGTGTATCTGAACCAGAATCCATAACCATATTAAGTAGTGTCTTTCAAATCATCTTTATGTAATTCAACATGAACAACTGGACCTTTATCATATTTTGCATTAATTATTCTATTTGGTCCTTCAACACATCTCTTTTTAGGGGGAGGTGGTGTTGGTACTGGTCTTAAAGCTGGTTTAACATTTGTTAAATAAGATCCTTTACAGAAGAATACTTCAAGATAGGCCATAAATCCACTGTAGACTGGGAATTGTCTCTCTCTTCCAAAATAGAAATAATG